ACAATTTATAAGAATAAATGTAATAATAATTTATTATAGTTTATTCCTTGTATTATTTATTGTATTTATTATATTTAGGTATTGTTTGAAATTGTAAGTCAGCTTTGTTTATATAAAAAGTCTTTGTGATAATTAATTAGGGAAGGAAATTAGATTATTAGCTAAGGGTGAAAATTATGTTATGTATGTGGATTATGTTAATTAGTTAATTGATATATAATTTTGACATAATCTTCTAGTAAATCATTTATTGCATATTTACTGTTGATGTATTTGGCCATGAAGAATCCCTTTTATCTTGATTTAAATAATCAAACAGCAGCTTCGTAAAATAGATATTTAATTAATTGTACAAGCTTCAGGTAAATCTAACGACAACAACCAAAAATGTTACAATACAAACTTTGACGCCCCTTTTTACCCCCTTATGTACAGCCTAAATTTCTAAATTTTTTTGCAAATTCCTTGTATACATCATAAAGGAAAAATGGTTTACCCCGGTGTTTATGTTAGTTTAAAATGATTTATAGCATTAAAAAAACTATTACTATTATTGTTGTATAAATTATGTAGTTGTTTTAAAGGTATTGCACTTTTGATTGGAAAGCTTTAGTTTTATTATTAATTAATCAAAATCCTTTTTTAGTAGATCACTTTTACGAAAATCTAAGTAAAAGTGATTTCTTTTGCATAATTTAACTTTATACTTAAACAGTTTTATTTAGACGAATTCATGCTATTTCCTTTTGTTCAACGTTAAAATATTTTTACAGAGTAATCGTGCTCTTATCGGCCACAAAAAATTTCGTTCGTTTCTACGACGACTCGAAAGAAGACACGCCTCATCGCCATTTTAAAAGTAAGAATTTTACAATTTTACTTGCTTTTTGTAAGTATTTCTATTTTATTTCATTATATATTTACTTTATACAATAGTTAATTTATTATTTCTCTATTTCTACAGATTCTATCTACGATAAATGAGTGAGAAGATTGAAGTTTATTTTAATAATAGTGAAAAAGCAAGTCGTCTCCTATGATGCTTTATCTGTTATCATCTGGGAGACTTGTAGTTAATTAAGGTGAGCATACATACTATATTACACAGGGTTTCCCAAGCAAGCGGGTTTCTTCAATAACTGCTTTATAGTTGAAGATATCAAAAAAAGTTTCTTACAAAAGTGCTACCATATAAGTATCTTCATATCTTAAAATTATTCTATTATATGTAGTGTATGTAGTGTGTTTATTTGATATTAACAGAAATAACGGTTGAACATTACTTTAACTAAGGAAGCTAAACTAACTGTATCTGAATACTTCTTTTTCATTGATTTCATTTTATAGGAACATTAGAAAACACCAGATGCCATTAAATTAAGGAGCATGGAAGTGCCTTTTTTTCTTGGGAATAAAAAGACAGTGTGCTGTTACTGTAGAAAAGATTCATGACAGTGAACTGGTAAGTAACTATCAATTAGAAATAATAAATGAGATCCCAGAAACCTCTATCTCTTAGACATTTCTAACTTGCTTCAATAGACAGTTTTTAAACAATGTGTTTTAGAAAGTCGTAATTATATTTATATTTTACAAACAAATGTATAACACCTAACTAGTAGAACTATAAGTAAAAAACAAAATTTTTTCAGTCTGAAGATGGTTAAATAAACTGAAACATTACTAAAAAAAATATAGTTTTGTAGTTATTTGATCGCCACCCTGAAAAAACTACATAATATAATCAATATTAATTGCTCTTTATTAAGCTGTTATGACAATTATCTATTCTCCACAGTATAAATTAACATTATCGTACTACTATGATATTTACATTAATTTAACCATGTATTATGCATGTTATTTACTAAGGATGCTAAAATACTATTTCGTTTTACAGGAAGGTTGGATGAACTCCAGATTCTGTTAAATTATGGGGCAGTGGTTGTCTCAGTCGTCAATCGCTCCAGAAAGTAGCTTTGCCTATGGTCCTAAAAAAAAGCATGAAAACACATTTTTCCATTGGGAACGAAGACAGTGTGCTGTTGCTGAAGAAAGGATTTATGACAATGAACTGGTAACTAACAGTATCAATTAAAAATAGTAAGTGAGTTCCCAGAAAATTCAATTTCTTGGACGTTTGTAACTTGCCTCAATAGACAACTTTTTAACCACATTTCAGCTTAACATACTTGCTTTAAAAGTGGTAATTGATTACTTTTTTTGCCCGTTTCTATAGATTGTCGTAACAAATTAGAAGGAATTGGTGCTACTGAAACAACCGATGCTTTTGATGTTTTCATCTTGCAACATTATGCAGTTAGTTTTGGCCGTGAGAATGGGAGGCAAATGGAAATTAATTAGGAAGCCACTGAAACAACAAATTGTCTGCAGTGATATCTCTCCTAGATTTGTTTTGCTCTGCTCATAATACTGGTAGACTTTGGAACGCTAATTTCTACAGGTAGTCAAGGTGAGAAAACAAGACGTAACTAATATTAATTGCTCTTTATTAATCTATAGTGGCATTTCTTTTAAACTGTTGTCTATTTGGCTAGAGTATAGATTGATGTTGTGGCGTATGTATAGTATTTTAAATATCTATAGTCCATAGCACCTATGGCGTGTCGTTTAACGTTTATCTATTGTTTACAGTTTAAATTGACTTGTGCATCTGTGGAATTTTAATAATTCTCTATTGCCTACATCATAAATTGGTGTTATGTGCATCTATGATTAGTTCACATTTATATGTCAAATTTAGTCTGTCATGTAAAGCTGATGCTTGTCACCATTTTATAGTTCGGCTGTTTTACTTGGTTTTTGATGTATGTTTTTAAATGTGTTTGATCTCTTCCTTAATTAATGGTGTAATTAATATGTTTTTTTGCCCATTTCTACAGATCGTGCAACAAATGGGAGGGAATTGAAGTTCAGTTTGGTCATTCTAAAACAATCATTGTCTACATGGGTGTGGTCTTTGGTGAACTACATTCTTGATTTGCTGTTTTCGTCTTCGCTTTGCATCATTGTGCAGTTAGTTTTGAACTGATGAGTGATAGCAACTGAATATTTATTTGATTACCACTGGAATAAGGAATTTTCTGCATTGGCATTCCTGGATTTTGTTTGCTTTTCACACCTGCAAACTTTGGAACATTATTACAGTCTACAGTTAATTAAGGTGAGAATACTTGATATAATTAATTTTAATTGCACTTTATTAATCTGTTTGCCACCGTATCTGTTTCAGATCGACGTTGGAGAAGACAAAGATGACCCCATAGTTAGAATAATTCTCTATCTTGCATGCTACATCTAGTAGAATTCATTAAGTTGATTTTATTTAAATTAATTTTTTATTTTGCATGTTTTTTTGTTTTTTTTTTTTGTACTTAATTTGAGTTATTTTGCATGCTTATTTTTGTTCATTTTGTTTGAAATAATTGTTGATTGTAGATGTTTTTATTTTTATTTTTGTTTGTAGTAGTAGTGTAGCAGTAGTTCTAACACGTTTAGTAGTTGTAGTGTAGTCTAACGTATCTCTTGCTTACCTCTTCGCTTAGCTTACTGCATATTCTTCCTAATTTGCTTTGCATTTACCCTACGAGTTCTACATGATTCAACGTTTCGTTATCGTGTGTGTTTCTTCTCACCCTTGTGGAATTAGGGAGGGCCTCCCCGAACGACTTCCCTTGGGCTTAGCTATTTAGTTGATCTTAAAAGTGTCTTATACACTTTTCGCGAGTCTACTCTAGCGTTACTTCCTTTCAGACAGGGTACAGTGGGTTATCTGGAATAGGAGCAATAGGCGACTGCCCAGCTTGCCTTGGCGAAATCTGTCCGATCTT